GTGCTCAAATACAAATTATATTACTATTAGACTAAAAAACAAAGTTTAAAAATTCTAATAATATCTAATTAAAAATTGCAAGCCCAGCATCACCCAGCTACATCATGTGCATCTAGATGTGACTTGTCACACCAACCCACATGGAGGTTGGAAGACCTTGTTAGCTTTATCAAAAACTAAAATTTTTTGCCAAGTTTTATTGATTAACAAGAACAATCTTTACTATAAACTTTCGCACAAGTTAAACATGCTAAACATATTGGGTAAGTATTCAAACGCAATTTTAATAGTGTTGATATCTATATCTATAACTATATACTAAAAAAATTTGTATGTAATGATAATGTTTAGATTATCTATATAAATTATATAGTTAAATTGTGTACTATATAACTATTTTTAGTATATTATTATTTGACACGTAATTTCTATTTAATTTATTTGTATTTATAACAATCTGTAAAGATCTATGTTATTTTATTCATGTTCTTTTTATTCAACTTTTTTAAACTAAGCTGCAAATGTTGTACTGTATATATTAATTCTGATATGGTTTATGTCACTTATACTCATCAAAAAATGTAGATAATTCCGAAATTTTTATCTGATTTGGTCACATGTCTTGTTTATTATTGGTCAAAAACTCATGTCACCTAAAAAATTTTTATATTTATTTCGAAATTTGAGAAATTAATTAACTTTAACCTTTAATACTTTACAAAATAACAAATTACAAAAAAAAAATAAACCATAAATCTGAAAGAGCAGTATTGAATTTATTATTTTTATGGTTTATATTTTTAATATCATTTAAATTAAAAAACAAGAAGCTATTTGAATTTATATGAATTTTCTTTGATGACTATAAGTGACGTGAACTATAAAACTTTTATTCTAATTAATTAAATAATTATAAATTTTTACTATTTTTATTGCTTTAATTTAGTGCGTCACTATATCATTATATGTTTAAGATAAGTTTTTCAAGTTTGATAATATAAAGTTATTGAATGAAAAGCAGCAAATAACAGAAATTATTTGTAAAATAATTTCATTATCTGGCTGTTAAGTTTAATATAACAGCTTCTGGGCCCTGAAGGGGCCCAGAAATAACATATTAAATTCACTTCCAGATAAACAAGTTATTGGCTGAGTAGCATTTAATAACGGTATTATTAGGCATTTTACAACAACTGAATTAACAAAATGATTCAAGTTCTTTTAGTGATAAAGCAATTATTATCAAAATAACTTGAGTTATTTTGTTGATACAATTATAGTAAAATGCCGAATAATATTTATTATTCAATTTCATTGTATACACTATTCAGGTTTATATCTATTTGCTATTTATTTTATTTTATTTATATTGTTTTAGATAAGCAAGTAATACATTTTGAAATCAGAGTTAGAAAAGTCTGAAGCATTTGAAGATTCCTATTTCATAGAATTGGAAAATTTTAAAACTTTCGTCAAATTGCCAAATCATGTTTCAAAATAAATACTTCATCAAATTTAATTAAAATTAAGAAACCTCCTATTTAAAATAAGCTCCTCACATCTATGAATATTTACTACTTTATTTCATTTTTTACATTTTACTTTTAGATATTATATCAGATAAGTATAATTAAATTTTTAATCAAATAAGTCACTTATTTTTATAAATATTTACTATTTAATTTTAATTAATCAATTTAATATAGTGCATTATTATAAAGAAAATTTATTATTCTATACACTTAGAATATGCTAGTGTAGTCAAGTTCAATAATATTTAATTTTATTTTATTAACTAATCGAGTTTACTATTTAATTTATTTCAATTATTTTAATTTAGAGAAATATAATAAAAATTTTAATCTAAGTATTTGGAATATCTATGAATATTTACAGCTTAATTTTATTTCTTTTAATTTAATTTAGTATATTGCTATAATGAAAATATATCAATCTATGTGTTTAAAATAAACTATTTAAGTTATTATATAAGTTTAACTTATCATGTTAATTCATATGAATTTTTTTAGAATATTAACAATTTACAGATAAATCTCCCTAAGTGCACGCTCTTAGAACCAGGTATAGGTGTACATTTAGAAAGGGTGTGCATTTAGAGATTTCTATACAAAGTATCACGTGATTACAGGCCAATTAAATTATACTATTTCAATTAAGCCTTTTCGCTATTTTTATGTAAAAATTCTAAAATACTTTTATCAAAACACTCAACATAAAAGTATTATACAATACATTCTAATTTTATAAAAATAATGACATTCAATATAATAATTATTATTTGTCAATCTACTGTAGATATAAAAGCTTCTTGTATTGAATTTTATTTATTTAACCGATTCTGGGTCCCATGCCACCAGAAGAAAGAGAAAAAAACTCTAATTTAACCGATTCTGGGTCCTGAACTACCAGAAGAAAGAGAAAAAGCTCTAATTTAATTATTGTAACAATTGTCAAATTATGTTTTTAAATTCATAACACTAGAAAATAATCAGCCTTTTGAATAATCTATTTTATAACTTTTCACTAAAATAGTATTTTCCTGGTTTTTTTTTTTTTTTTTTTATGTTTTTTTATGTTTTTTTTTTTTTACCTTTTTTTTACTTTTTTTTTAAAAAATAAAATTTTAACGCTTATCAAACTCAATTAGCTGAACATAAAGCTAGGTCATCATTATTTTTTAATGAAGTAGCATTCCTAATAACTAGTGCAGGATAGAGTTGTGACCTGCTTGGGCCAAAAGGTTTCAGGTTTCGGCTATAAGTTGTGAAACCCTAAACCAGTTCCAAAATCCTAAACTGATGCCAAAATCCCAAACTGCTGCTAAAATCCCAAACTAATGCTGAAATCCCAAACAGCTATCGAAATCCTAAACTAATGCTGAAATCCCAAACAGCTTTCGAAATTTCAAACTAATTCCTAAATTCCAAACTAATGCCGAAATCCCAAACTAATACCGAAATCCCAAACTAATGCTAAAATCCAAAACTAATGCCGAAATCCCAAACTAATACCAAAATCTCAAATCAATATCAAAATACTAGAGTATATATTATATAAGTTAGCATATATATGAATTTTATATATATTGATATAATTTTGGATTTTGATATTAATTTATGATTTCGGTATTGGTTTGGGATTTTGGTATTGGTTTGGAATTTTGGTATTGGTTTAGGATTTCGGCATTAGTTTGGAATTTTGATATCAGTTTGGGATTTTGGCATCAGTTTGGGATTTTAGCATCAGTTTGGGATTTAGGAATTAGTTTGGGATTTCGGTATCAGTTTGGGATTTTGAGTTTTAGTTTAGGATTTAGGATTTGGAATTTAGGCAAAAAATATTATAATTAAAACTAGCTAATACTATAGCCTAAACCTAAAGGATTTAGGAAGGTTTGGGTTTCGGGACCTATCTTTAGTGCAGGAGGAGCTTATTTTTTTTAGCTCATTTTATTTTAACAATAATAATCAGGATTATAAATATCAGATGAAAGCTAGTCTCTATAAATTTTGATACGTAATAAATTAATGTTTTAAATTTATTTAATTCAGCAAAATTTAATAATAAGTTTATACTTACTTGTCAACACTAGTTTCAGCATTTTGTTTAAAATACTAATCAATTTTTGATTGTTTCATTGCACCTACTTTTTTTCCTTTAATCACTTTTTCAATTTTATTAACTAACTTTAACTGCTCACTTGTGTTATCTTGTTGTAGCAGGTATATATAAACGGTCTTCAAACTTTCAAGTACTAAATTGGCACTAATAATTAGAATCTCTAAACTATCATCTATTTATCAGTTTCATCAAAATCTTCTACATCATTTTTTTTAAAAATTTCAGCAAGCTCTGAAATAATGCAATTATCATTAGGAACTTCATAAACAATATTTTCTTCAGAGATAGATAAAAACTCTTCAACTTGCATAGGGTTTAATAAATGAAGGTCTTCAATCATCGTAGCAAGATCATTAATTTCAGAATCAATAACTTGATAAATATTTTCTGAAAGATTTCGTAAGTCTGCATTAAAGCTTGCAGGAAGAATATTAGTATGTCGCTAGCAATTACGAATAGTTTCAGTATTTACTTCTTCCCAACTCTGAATAGTATATCAAATAGCTTGTAAAACATCTATTTTTAAGTCTTTTGCATGATTACCTGCCTCTATTTGCTGTAATATCCAGGCAACATGATGACAACGATAGTGCCTTTTAAAACTCATAATTATCCTAGCATCCATCGATTGAATTTTTGAAGTTGTCTTTGCAGGTAAAAAATGAACATCTATATATTGTAGATTTAAATAATCAGTTTTATGACTGGAGCACTTGTCTAGAAACAGAAGTACATATTGTTTATCATGTTTTAAACCAACTTGGCGATCAAATTCTTTAAGCCAGTCTTGAAAGAATGTTGTAATCATCCAGGCTTTGGCATTATTTCAATACATAAATGGCATGTTTTTAATATTTATATTTTTGAAGCATCTTGGCTTTTAATATTTTCCAATTACTAATAGATTTAGTTTATGTGAGCTATCTGTATTTGCATATAGTGCAATTAAAATGCGCTCCCTATCTACTTTTCGCCCAACAATATGATGAGTTGCCAAAGTTCGGTCTGGTTCTAAATGAAAAAAAAGTCCAGTTTCGTCCATGTTGTATATTCTATGAAGTGAATAACTAGCACTTTTAGATCTTAATAATAGCAATACACTAGCAATAGCATTATTGTCTGCAAATGCAGCTTCACTCTGAAGCTTTATTTGTCGAATGCCATTATGTTCTTTAAACTTTTGTAACCAACTAGAAGAAAATTGTAATGTTTTTTCAGGAACTCCAAACCCAGCAGCGACTAACTTCACTTTTTCAATCATAATAGCATCATTTAGAATTGTCTTATAACCTTCTCCTGATTCTACTCATTCAGAACTAATAGCAACTATTCCTCTACTTCTTACTTTACTATTTAATTCTACACTTACCATTTATATGGACAACCTCTCAGCAATTAAAGGCTTATCAAGCTTTACATCTCATAAAC